TTTTGAGATCTTAACCTTTAGTTAGAACTAACAAACTTAAGCACTGATAGACAATTCGCACACTTCACGCCGTCAGGTTTAATATAGTCTATCATTCGGCAAACGTTACCACAATGCTGTTCGACGGGTCATAAATAATAGGCATTGTGGGACGAGACGAGGCAGATTCAGGAAATGAACAAACGAATGCTATTACAATCTTGGCCACGATAGAAATAAACCACTTATACGACCATATCCCCTCTGCAATTCTAGCTGCAACAAAGAAACACCACGTTGTCATACAAATAATTGCCCGAGAGGATTGATTTGCCTTTTAACCCTGCCCGTACGTGTCATAAACCTGTGTTTTTGTTCTGTACACACATCCTCCCTGTCAAAAAAAAACGTTTGGATGGAACGTGTGCGACCTCCCCTTTTTTCATAATAATAAATAGTATTCGCTTGCTTCAGTTTAGGAATAATATTTAGTAAAGATGGAAATGGGATATATAAAATAGGTACGCATCAGGCATTATTATGTTATGTGTCTTGTATTACAGCCCTTTCTATCCTCATTACAAAGTTCCACCATCAGCAACACATGATAATGATTAGATACCATCTCCTTTTTTTTCCAAAGGGGATTGGATGTGCATGCCAAGTGATATTGTACCACTGTTGCAGTTAAACGAATGTATTCTGAACGGGACAAACAACTAGAAAACCTATCAGGTAACCACTGGCCATTTTATTTTCAATCCATTCCTCATTTGGTTCAATAGCACGCTTCGGAAATCAACAGCTAAATAATCAACGACTAAACAATCAATATCCTCAGATCTTGATGTTAAAAATATACCAAAATCCTTCCTGTCATAGTCAGTAGCCACTCTTCTACGCTCTGTTCTTACTGTATAATGTCTTGCCAGAAATCCCTAAAATCATCACAGCAATCGATACCATCGTACACCTCGATTACAGTCACTGGTGCACCCAGCGAGAACATTGATGAAGCAGTAGACAATGAAGTAGTCTTTGAGTTCGGTGGTCCACTGGGAGTCACTGCTATGATGATTGGCTTTCCTCCGTTAATGTATTATTTGTGGGGGTGTCTCAATTTCTACGGAGGAGCGATCGTATCTCCATTGAATCTTGACCTATGGAAGCAGATAATAGATGGAGCTTATCCCACTTGGCATGCAACGACCATATACATCCTGTTTGCATTATTTCAACTATTCCTCGCATATGCAATGCCTGGTCCTATCGTTCAAGGCGCTCCAGTGCCGTCTTTAAAAGGAAGAAAGTTGGATTATCTTTGTAATGGACTGACGTCATGGTATGTCAGTTTGATCGTGTCGTTTGTTCTCCATGTATACGGATGGTTTAGGCTTACCGAGGTGATCGATGAGTTTGGGCGTTTAATGACCGCAGCTATTATGACTGCATTCACCCTTACGATTGTGGTATACGTGGTTACTGTCGCAACAAACAAGCAACACCGAATGTCTGGGTATTTGATGTATGATTTATTCATGGGTGCACCACTTAATCCAAGAATACGCCATGTTGATTTGAAGATGTTTGTTGAGGTCAGAATCACTTGGGTAAGTAGACAAAATATGAAAGAATTGGGGAGAGGAGTAGTGTTACAGAGATAGGATTTTATAATAATCGAGTCTGATTCATGAAGGTAATTTCCAATTAATATTTAATATTATCGAGAGGGGTTTAGATATAGAGTTCAGTAGAGTATGCGAGAGAGGTTAACATAGATTGATTATTGATAATAAAACACGCGATCAGCACAACGTATGTAATATATTATTTACAGCAAGCATTTAAGCAAAACTAATTTCTTCATAAACTGTTTATCATACTGACTCGAATTTGATTGTAGGTTTTGCTATTCTATATCACAGCATCGGCTGCTGTGAAGCAATATGAATTGTTTGGATATGTCTCAGCACCAATGTGGTTTATGGTGCTTGCTCATTTCTTATATGCAAACGCATGTATGAAGGGAGAAGAGTGCATTCCCACGACGTGGGACATGACCTATGAGAAGGTATTTGTTTTAAAAAAAAAGTACACGTGTCATAGCATTCAATATTGATAACGTCATCTGATGTAATAACAGTTTGGATTTATGCTTATATTCTGGAATCTCGCTGGAGGTAATTAACAATGGCAGTCGGTGATGTCATTATTATTAATTTTTTAATATTAATGATTTGATTTATTCTCTTTTAGTTCCATTCACGTATTGTTATTCAACACTGTATCTCCATATTTCAAGCCTTAACAATAACAAACCGCTGGAGCATTCACCAGGATTCACTGTATTCTGTTACGCGCTATTACTTATAGGATATTACATTTGGTAATTTCCCAATTGTATCGTGTGTTCCCTCCCCTTTACATGCTATACCCCCTGTTTATTAAAAGACAAGGGTTTAACAGGATCTTGTATATGATGATACCTCTTCACCAATATAATCAAGCCTTTTATTCATTGACACGATCCAATTCTCAAAACGTTTTTAATAGGGACACAGCAAACTCGCAAAAGAACCGTTTCCGGATGATAATGAATGGCACTTATATTCCCCGACATAGCTTTCCTCAACTTCCCTGGGGTACGCTAGAAAACCCAACATTCATCAAGACTCAACACGGCAATCTTCTCCTCACGGGTGGATGGTGGGGCATTGCTCGGAAGATACACTACACAGCTGACCTCATAATGGCCTTTGCATGGGCATTCATCACCGGATTTGAGACAATAATTCCATTCTTCTATCCAATATTCTTTGTTATAGTGTTAATACATAGAGTCAGCAGAGATATGCACAGATGTGCCAGAAAATATGGAAAGGATTGGGAGGAATATTGTAAGAAGGTCCCCTATATTTTTATTCCTGGTATTTACTAGCAAGAAGAACTCGTGATATAGCAACCAAGTCTATATTAGAGCTTTGCAATAAGTAGTTTCCCGCTCTTTGAACTCAAAATTAGTACAATATATTATGTCCCTTCATTGCTTGTTTGTCTATTCATACTCAAAAGTCTAATGATTAATGTTCTTTTTGCAATGATTAAACAATAAACCAATTAAATTTTATAAACTGAAATCCCAACGCAAAAAAAATTATTTAACCAGTAATCCTAAATCAAGTCACTAGAACAAAAACCAAGAAGAAAGCTATTATGACAGCAAATATCTTTAGCATTAACCACCGGTTAGAAGAGATGCTTGCATAATATTTTAAAAGCTCTTTTTGCGCGCCTTCGACGCTCATCTGTATATCTTCCGTATTAGCGTCAATTCTAATGAAATGTGAAATATAAGTGTAAGCAATTGAACGTTACAAGATAGTGTGTTAATGCCCTAATATACACAGGCGTTGGCCAATCAATCAATAAGCTTACCGCTGAACCGTCTCTCGCTGTTCAGCAACCATTGTTGCTAACTGCTGGAAGATATTTCCAAGTTCAGATATTGTCGACTCGATAGATTCGATCGCTGTAGCTCGACTCCCAATATAATTATCCTAAAAAAAGAACACGGATGTTAGACTAGTCATCCCTTAACTTTTGTTTATCTCTCACTTCTCTTGTTTCTTATATAGGCTCACCTGTTGCTCAATAAGTTGTAATTGTTGGGCCTGCCCATTAGACATATCCAGAGCGAGAAAATCTGTGTTTTGTTGATCATTGTGTCGTTGAGTGTCGTATAAGGGTGAATCGGCTAATGTATGATATTGGCAATTTAATAAGGATTAGCAAAATTGTAAGGGACTTTTTGAAATTGCAAGTAATAAGAACAACCTGACGGTATGCTTGCTATCTGCGGAGTGGTGTACATAAACTGTTCTCTTCTGTCCTTTGTTGCTTTCATATTCTAAAACGAGTAAAAGAAATCAACACATAAATATTATTCCTCATAATGCCTTTTGATCCCATTCCCAACTCATACCAAACAGTACCTGCGTCCTAATTTCCAGTACATCCTTGAAACTCATACTCGTATCTGCCAACTTTGATTGTAACAAAACAACCACATTAGATGAATGTTCATCGGCCTGCTTGTTATTTTCTCGTTGATCTCGCACGTACTGCTGGAGGAGGGCAATTTGTTTATTTAATTTTGCAATATCCTGCTTAATAACGTAGGTTAATTCCTGTGACAGAAAAAAGAGACCATCAATAAGAATGTAAACCGAGAGAGGGAGGGCAAGTCCAAGACATTAAAAAAAATGAATGACACTGAGTACTCACACTGATCTCTACAGGTCGGTCATCAAACAGAGTCTTTCGCTTTGCCACTACATAATTAGTAACATGTCCTCGTCAGACAACATATTCTAATCTCTACTTTCACCAAGTCTGCCAATTTACCCAACTCTCTCGTTTATTAACCAACAATATTAAACATAATTCAACTTACACTTTGTCAACTTTTGCAATTTTCCAGCAGTAGCATTAATATCCCTCCCGATGGCGGCAGCCATTTTAGAAAACTCGCTCCTATTCGTCCTTCCTTTTCCATTTCCCTTATTCTCGTTCAATAGCGGTCGACGGTGCTCTAAGTTCCGTGCATGAAACGATCCACCAAAGGATCTGTTCTTGATCGTGTCCACAGCAGCATGAAATTCAGTCGTTCGGTCCTTTACCGAGATCATTATTTATATAGTTGTATATGATATAGGACAAAAATACGAAGAGATGGAATGTCTGTGTATATAGTGTATGTGTGTATATGTGTGTAAATATGGAATAGGCGGGGGCAAATGTTAAGATTATAGAGGAAGAGAAAGTGATGGAAGTATTGCCCCACCGTCCGGGCCCGGATAAATAAATATGTAAAGAATGGCTTGAAGAATAACTATAATTTATGTGACGTTTTGAGAAATGGGCGTTCTCCAGTAATATACTATAGGCAACACGTGACACAGAATAAACATGTTTGTTGTTCTCGTGTTACCATCAACCAGCTCAACGAAAAGCCGGGCGACATGTCTTCCTCACCACTCTTAAATCCAAGTCTACCTAGTTCCTCCTCCTCGTCGGTCAATGTTTCTACTTCCGCACTGGATAAGTATAGAAAAAAAGACACAAGTAAAGGTACGTTAAGCGATATATTGATCTGGATTTTTGTGGTGAGGCGCTAATGTGGGTAATTCCTGAATTTGTAAACAGTCGTAGTGCGGTTTAGAGCTATTGGAAATGCGCCTATTCTTAAGCAGAATTTTTACAAAATAACCGCCTCGAACAAGTTCCAAGCTGTGATTCAGTTTCTTAGAAAGGAACTTCAATACAAGACTGAGGACCCGCTGGTATGTATTCTTGTTCAGCATGTCTAGAGAATTTTATTGGAATGCATTCCGCTTACGAGCACGTATCTGTACATGACAGTTCCTATACGTCAACAGCGCGTTTTCGCCCGCTCCTGATGAGATAGTTGCCAATCTACACAAGGTATGATAAAGTTTTTTGTCGTCGTTTGTACAAGAGTGGGGCCACTTTTTTACTCATCCCCTTTTTCGTAGTGCTTTAATACAGACGGTCATTTAATAATAAATTACTGTTTGGGTGCTGCATGGGGTTGAAAGCGTGGAGGATTCGTCCATGATGGACCATAATAGACGGTAGACTTGTTTTATGCGTATTCGATCTATTTAAATGTATTAATGAGATGTTGTATAATTTAACTATGACAAGATGTATGAACATTGGGCCATATTGAATACGTTAACGTGGTGACAGACATTTGAAGAACATCACAAAACAAAGGCGCATTCACATCAAATAGAGAAATGATATTTTGCTTCATCGACAATGCTCTATGTAATCGGTTAGGGTGGCTATAATTATACATTGTTGCTCTTGTTCTCATGGCAAATAGTTACAGATGGACGTATCAGCTTTCAACTGTGTTACTAGTTTCTCTTCACCGCTTGCTTCTCTTGTGAATGTCATTCTGCATGTAATAGTATAATGCCTTAATAGTCTGAAAGGACATAAAATACTACCAGTTTCCCACCACACTACACAAGTGCTTACACAGAATAGACTTCCCGGCAGACACTAGTCTTGATCCCATTCTCATCATCCTATTCACTCTCTTTAGCATCTTTTCTACTTCCAAACCCTCTGAATATCTCATCTCTGATACTTTGATCCACACGTCCCCACGCTTTTATCATATCCAAATCTTCATAACCCCAATCAATCAACTCTTGAATTTTCTTCTCATCCTTTTCTCCGCGATAGATTTCAAACAACTCTCGCGTATTGTAGAGCAATTTGGAGCGTAGGTAGGGGATTGGAAAAGACCGAGAGCGGATGAAGCGGATGGCGTGGCGATAGAGATGGAGGGGACAATTCTGGGACATTCTGACGAATGAAAAGGTAGTAACTAGGTGATTTGAGAACGTGAGAAATTCTTTCTAAATTTCAGCATGTATTCCTATCTTTTCGCACTATTGGCAATAATCATACTTGTATTCAGAATAGTTCAGGCTCTTCCAACAAAAAAGTTCAAACGGAACAATTCCAATAAACTCGAAAAACCATGTAAATCGTGTATAGTTCTTGGTTCGGGTAAGTGCAGCTTGTAAAACTTCTATACTCGCAAAAAAGGACTGTTCCCAAACACAGTCTTTCCTGCCTTTCCAGGCGGACACACAATGGAGATGCTTCAACTACTTCAAGGTTTAGACTACGCTACCAAATACAGACCACGACTATATATAGTTTCTTCTAATGATACATTAAGCGTAAAAAAGGCACGAGATTTGGAGACTGCAAAGGGTGGAACAGAGGGTGAAGACGTAGGTATTGAGAGGATAATTACCTAAGAGAGTGATTTAATTAAAGAAAACAGAAACTTAAATTGGTAGAAGTATAGAATTGTACGTATTCCACGAGCGCGTCATGTGGGAGAGTCATGGCTTACCACGCCGTTTAGTGTCGCCAAGGCATTGATTGCTTCCACGAAAGTTGTGCTGTGGGAAACTCCTGATTTGGTATGTTTCCACATCTCTATTTACGTTATACTTTTTTTTCGCTTTGCTCATCTGTTGCATTGTTCTTAGATTATATGTAATGGTCCAGGCATATGTGTGCCCATCTGTGTTATTTCGTATATTCACAGAGTATGTACCGTTTTGGTTTTTTTTCGAAAAATACCCCTCCTAATGGTTAAACGCGCGCTAACATTAGATTTAGATTTTAGGCATCAAGCGTATTTACTTGATCTATGTAGAATCGTTTGCTAGAGTAAAAAGTCTATCATTATCAGGAAGACTGCTGATACGATTCGTGGACACGTTTCTGGTTCAATGGCCTTATTTAGAAGGAAAATATTCTCAAGCAGAATATAAAGGCGTGCTTGTGTGATGCCAAGAGATTTAGCAGAAATGATGATGAAACAAGATTTTATTTGTGAATCTCCACAATAGCCATTTATTACAATACATGAGGAATAAAATATATTTATTATATTCTCACCATTATCAACCATCATGTTCTTGGTGTCATGTCACTCTAACTGGTATGGTTGCTAGGTCTCATCGCCCCCCGAACTACATCAGCAAAGTTATTCGAAGCATTGCTGTGGCTGCTGCTGCTTCTATCTATTTTTGGCTTGTTAGAGAGCTTACGTGGGGGTTTCCTAAGCGCATTAAATACTCTCATGCGTCTCGTAACGTCAGCGTAAGCCGATTGCCACACCATCTTTTCTGGTGTCATTGGCTTAACCTCTTCGTTAAGTATATGCTCAGGAACACACCAGTTAGGCAACAATCGAATTATCAATCCAATAGGAAGAGAGAGGAATCCAATGATCACTGTGACAAGCCATTGAGTCCCAGTGAGTGAAACAGTGCCAAATGCAACTCCTCCAAACTCCACGATAAAGAATTGACCGCCAATCACGATGAGTTGAATAAGAATGAATACATGGTTGTTCAAGATATTTCTAAACACGTTTAAATGATCGTCAATGCGGCGGCAGTTGATTTCGTTGAATACTTGGAGAAACACGAATGTGTTGAAAATGATTGTGCGAAGAGCCGCTTTGTCATGGGGTGAATCCGACAAATGGAAGACTGCTGGTCCGATATGGAGTAATGTCAGATTAACAGCAATCTGGAATACAGCCTGTCCAATAATCATCTTCCACATACGATAATTGACTAATGAAGCATTTTTCGATGTTGGATATCGGTCGAGCACCTCGTCGGTCGGTGGCTCAGTCGCCAATGCGAGGGCGGCCAGCGTATCCATAATGAGATTAACCCAAAGCAATTGGACTGCGGTAAGAATAGATTCGCTTTCATCGCTCATAACAGCACTGACAAAAGATAGTATGACAGCCGTGATATTAACCGTAAGCTGGAATTGCAAAAACTTTCTTACACTGTCATTAACAGCGCGTCCCCATTTCAGGGCGCTCACAATCGAACTGAAACTGTCATCCATCAGGATAATCGATGAAGCTTCCTTGGCCACTTCAGTACCAGCAATACCCATACTAAATCCAACATCAGCCAACTTCAACGCCGGTCCATCGTTAGTACCATCTCCAGTCACCGCAACAATTTCATCCAATTCCTTCAACCGAGTAACAACGATGGTTTTATCAGTTGGAGAAGAACGAGCGAGCACTTGAAGACGAGGCACAATTCTGCGCTGTTCATCAGGCGACATTGCACGGAATTCCGGACCAGTTAGTGCAACTCCCTTTGTCAGAATACCAGCATCACGAGCAATAGCCCTTGCAGTCAATATGTTGTCACCAGTAATCATCCTTACAAATACTCCAGCTTTCTTAAACTGCTCGACCGATAGTTTCACATCAGGACGCAAAGGATCTTGAATACCAACTATACCCAACAATATTAAATTGTCATTCGGGGCGTCGTCATCATTGAATTTCTTGGCCTCACTGGAAGTGGCGTCTTTGTATGCTAGACCAATAGTGCGTAAAGCTTTGTCCGCGAACATGGTGATTGTGATCTCGACCTGCTGTTTGCCACTTTCATCTAGCTCTTTAATTTGACCATTGGCGTTAATATAACGGTTACACGATTTAAGCACAATCTCGGATGCTCCCTTCACATGAACGCGATACTCGGCATTAGGATCAGACTTGGCAGGTGCGTTGGGGGGAAGTTTAATAACTGTTGTCATTGTTTTCTTCTTTGAAGCAAATGGATAGACCCTTTCTGCTTGAACTGCAGATCTACGTTCTCTATAATCTACTCCAAAGTGTTTTGCAAATCCAAGAAGCGCGCATTCCGTCTTTGATCTAACAAATTAGGAGCAAGATAAAATGTATTAGGACTGGCGATAATACATATTGCATAACCCTCGCAATATTGTTATAGACTTCACTCCTACATTTATATCACTTACCCAACAAAGTCGACTCTCCCGGATTCACCCTTGTCTTCGAATGCAGATGAATTGGCAGTAATCCCTTCAATAAGCACATCGAATACCGCATCGCTAATTTTTGATCTCCAACTATCAAGATGAGCTAGACCTTCAAAAGTCTCCTGAGCAATTTTGCCCTCAACCACGGTCATCTTATTCTGTGTCAAGGTGCCCGTCTTGTCAGAACAGACTGTTGTTGCATTGCCCATGGTCTCGCATGCAGATAACACACGCACCAGGTTGTTATCCTTCAACATTTGAGTGGTAGCGTATGCAAGAGCGAGAGCAACGGCCATAGGTAATCCCTCGGGAACGGCAACGACCACGATAGTAATTGCCTGAATGACAATAGTGATTACGGCAGGCAATATATCCGCAATGTCAGGGAACTCGTCAGCCATCGCAGCAGTAATAAAGTATTTAGCCGTAAGGGTGATCAACATAAGCAGAGCAGCGCATATACCGAGTTTGGCAATTTGTTCAGCAAGTAAATCTAGTTTCATCTGAAGCGGAGTTTCGTCGCTCTCGCTCCCACGAAGAGCTATCATAGTCTTTCCAAAAAAAGAGTTAGGTCCCACTGCAATTACAACTGCTTTGCCTACTCCTTCGAGCACTTTAGAACCACTAAGGATAATTGGATCACCGTTATTTTCGAGGGTGTTCTTCTTTATAGTATCCGATTCGCCAGTTGCGCTCGACTCGTCGCACGTTAGATTATGACCGCTGATGTAAACTCCATCGACTGCGATAATGTCACCTGGTTCGAGAAGCATGATATCTCCAACATTGATTTCGTGCACGGATATCTGTTGTTCTTTGCCATTACGAATTAGCTGAAAAGGGGGCGTATGAAATTTGAAGCAAGTGAGTATAATGGTGAAACGTGATTCCTTATATTAAGGCAAGAACAAATACTCTACTTTGACATCGCGATCTTCCTTCTTGGCGTTGAGTTTTCTAAACTGTTTTTCCTTTGAATAATCATTTATGGCGTTTGTGAACACGACGGCAGCGACGGCAGCAACGATAGCCGCACCTATGATACAAATATTGTTTTAATATGTATTTTTTAGGTTTAAAGATGATATTGCATCATAACGCGTCCAACTCTCTTTAGGATCGTACTGAATGGCATTTCTTACCCTCAACCCATCCGACACGTGGCTCATCATCAGGATGACGAGAAGAGAAATCTTCACTAATTCCAATAGCCAGCGAAACTATAGCAGCAACACTAAGCAAAACTAAGAGTTTTAAATTAATCTCTAGATCACGTTAAATAGAATGCAATATTTTTTCTTCTTCCTTGCTTACTTAGCGTTTTGTCTTTATACGCTTCCCACACTAAAGAGAAGAAACTCTGTTGTGCCACGTCAGGTAAAACCTACACATCATACAAAACATTTAGCTCGCCTCGTAAAGACCCAGCGGTTAGCAGCTATTTATCCTCATCATACATTCTTTCCATAAAACTTTCTCCGCTCTTCAAACGGCAGACGATGACTATCCAATCCTTCATCCGAACTCAAACCGTTATCAGGATTAACACGAAGACCATCGGTAATACCCTTTACACCACCATAGGAGTTCAACAAATTTGGGTCTTTCGGGTCGACTAATTTATAAAGCTGTTCGGGCGTAAAAGCGAATGGGCCGCTGTCTTGATCGCGATCAAGAAGCGGAGTGCGCTCACTCGTAGAAACTGGCATAGTCCGAACAGAGTCTGCATTACGAAAACGGAACGTACAAAAGATACCTGAATTAATTATTCGTGTGGTATAACAAGGGCAAATATGTATATATATAAGCAAACGCACATTTCCAAAGAAATATGCCACGGTATTTGAACCATAGAACACGACGACCTTATCGATATATCCCAGCACGACTTTTTTGACTAGATAACTTTTTTCGCATACGATAAATAGAAAGCTTACCAGCAAATACGTAATAGAAAGTAGTATTTGTTGATCAAAGAGACTCGTTTTTTACTCATATTCTTATATTCATGCAATACCATTATCTTGTACTACCCAACTGCATTTAATTGTTCGGTTTCACATTATCATTTCCCGGTTATCCGTCGTTACACATATATAAGCAACCGGGGCACACCAGGGCATTGCTTGGTACACTCATAACGCCAATTACCTTTTATATCATTAGAATTCTCCGTAGAAAAGTACCGTAATATACGCCTCCTTTGTGAAACTGAATCAAAGATTCAAAGAGCAACGCATAGAATATTCATATAATTTTGACCAATTACCTTTGTGGAGGGATCAGATCTATTATCTAATTGGACAGCTTTTTATTTTACGAGAAAGGTCTACGCAGAAACAGCTGTATTTGTGAACCAAAAGAAGAGACGTCTCGCGATCGGTTCATTTATTGGGAGAAGTCAAAGAGCACTTGTAATGTCCTCTTAACCAAAAGTAAACAAGCGTGCAGACAATGTAGCAGAACGCTTTGAGCGCACAAGCCAACGTCTTTCTTGCCACTAAATACGCGAAACAAAAAGTGATGAAACTGTAAATGTAAAACTTACTGTGTGTGGATTGCTGTAAACAACACAACGCCTACTTTAATACACTATATTTGTCAAAAAAGGCATTGCTACTATGATTGCCACCTTTTATAATCTATTGCCGAGTATGTAACATAATTGTTTGAAACTAATAAACCCAGCAATCGATAACTTATTCAATCTTTCTTGATGAACTTAAATGGATTCCTAGATTCAAGTCCAATGAACGCTGTTTATTATGCTATTTACGATATGACGGTAAAACGATGATAGTCATGCTAACCAAAACTTGGACATGCACACTGTCATTTACAAATGAGTTTGCCACAAACCAACGACAGGGACAATGATAATTTAGACGATATATGGCTTGAAAGTCACAACAACTCACAGTCGTATATCTAAACCAAGTATATGCATTTAGTCTCGTGACGCAAAAAATTTATACTCTAATGACGTTTGATGCTTTAACTATTGACTCATCTAAATTATATCACGCATGTATCTTATATCGTTTTCAGTCATAAATTCCTTTGTTCTAAACGTTTTAGCTGTCTCGAGAACTTGTCTTCTTCTTCTGTAGGTAAGTTCGCGTTAACATGCACCACATCGTTGGTACACATTTTATATGAAAAACGATAATAATAATATTATTATTAATTAATATTAATATCTGATAGAAAACTGGTACAAGGAGATTCGACTATATATAGAAATAGCATGATATTTATGTAACACAATCATATTTAATTAAATATAATAATAATAATAACGATCATCATTACGTATTTGTATAAGGGAATTGGGAGTAGGGCTGGTAACTAAATTATTACAGTCCAGTCAGACCCCCCTACAGTCACACCACTTACAGCCACAATCACAGAACGGAATCTTGCCCCCCCCAGTCGCATACTAATTGCAATCACTATCACACTTGTTGAGAGGTCAAAAAGGCTTTTTGACCCCTTTACAGCCACTTCACGTGACTTAAAATTTTGTGTTTACCCATTATTTTTGTTGTAACCCAACTTCTTCCTAAACTTGCTATGCTCACAGCAACAAAAAATCAATATAATAATGAAATGCTTTTGCTTTATTCATTTACATTACTATGAGTTCTTCACACTAGCAATAATAATAAACAGTAAGCAACCATGTGTGTTACTTTAGTAAGACAACAGTGCAGATCAATAGTCAGTTGAGCAAGTCAGGTGATGAAATCTTCCTCCGCAGTCAAAACAATACCCGCAGTAAGTTAATTTTAGTATTGTCACACTAGAAGTTCGTATATAGAAATTAATGACACAAAGTGAACATTTTATTATATGGGGCATGCTGCAACAAAACCAGACAAAGTGAACATTTGATTATGTGACATAAATGAGAGGTTGGTATGGCTAATTTAGCTAATGACATTTTGAAAAGTAAGCTCATTCATAACTTATGGATTTGTTAATTTTAATGTTCACTTTATCATACCAGAAGGTGAGGAATATAAACCATAATGTGATTAATATAGGACTACCTCTATATAAAAATAAATATATGAAACTAATTTACATTAAATCCACTATGGAACCCAAGAATTATAGCACTATTCGAAGCATTCTAAAAAAAGCTCAAGGAGAAAAAATTGCGCCTTATATTTTTAAGATCAATGACACCCAAACACTCCAGGCATATCTAGATCAAGAAAAAATTACTTATGAAATTTATCAGGAAGAACGAAAAATAATAAACCATAAACGAACATTACCACCAACTTATAGTGAATCAAGAAAAAAACAAAAATTAGAAGACAGGTAAAGGGAAACAGTTTAACGTAAAAGGCCTCCACTGATCAAACGACCTATCAACGAAAGATCGTTCTTTATAATCTTGATAGAAGACCGCTTAAGCACATTCATTGAACTTTGCTTTTTGACACATTTGCAATTAACGAGTCAAACAATGTAAAAATAATTCAATTTTTTTGTAAGCATAAATTTTATTATTTCGATTATTGAATGCGCACTCTTGAAATATAAAATAATAAAAGCACCAGAGTGATTGCATGGGAGGAAAATACTCGGACCCAAAGCCTTTTATGAGTATAACCTCGGATTCGTTTTTCGTTCGTAGAACTTTTCAACGTTGAGGCTGCAATGCCTTTTCCTTCGCGTAACTCGCGGATTTCAGTTGCCATTTGATTAAATGAAAAGTTTGGGGTATGAAGAAGAGAGATTCTGACCGTCTTGCTATATATAGTAATTTCATGTGCTCATAAAAGGTAGGCTGATTTGTTAGAAGTCTAAACAAAAACCGTTTGATTTACCTCTGAACCCTTTTTCTTTTGGCGATAAACAAAGATTGTTTCAAATTTCAAACACATAAAGCACATCTTGAGCTTCTTTGTTGTTCTTTATGACAGTAACAACCGATTGATGACCCCCTCGCTGGATGGGACACACCGTTTAAATTGAATGAGTAGCGCTTACTTCATATACATAGATGCAAGGATTTTTTCTACCCCTTGTAATTGCAACCTTTTTCTTCGACTTCATAACATCACGTGATACTTTCGTGTAAATGATAATAAATTTTATGACTTCCGATGCCGTACGGCCGGGAATGCAAGTATACACGAGAGTTATCCTAACCGAAAACATCGCTCATATACATTGTTAGCTTGTCGAATTTCTTCGCGAACGCTCCATAACAGTTTGTAATGCTCAGCCGACTGCTTTACAATTAAACTATTGGGATGATACATGAATTCTATCCATTTACGTTGAATAAGGACACATGCTCGCACTTTTTCTGTTGTACGGCGTTGACCTCCGTTGCTCGTTTAAGTTTTCTAATAGCATTTGACATCCATAACTCGTAATAATGCAATGCGCGCATATCGTCGAATGTACGATCAGATTCGGGTTTACGTTTAATTTCAAAAACTTCATACTTTAGTTTGCGATATTTATTACCAATACATGAAGATTTCCAATATACGCTTTGACATACGTGCATTTTCCAGTATATACTAACTCGTCGCAAGAGAAACAGATAACAATTCCTATTGTTGGAGCATGTGAACTACCATCTGGGAATTGCATCAACTTCTGGCTTCAAGAAACCTTTTGTTATTAATATTCATAAGATTATTATTTCTGAAATACGTTAAGCGTTCCCAGATCCGTTCTTTCCACTCACCGGGAGTTTCTCCAATACTAATACGTACTTGTGGCATCCTTCAGGAGTCGTAAAAATTGACTATAACAACCAAATTCGATTAACTACTGCATGATGCATACATACATTTCTTTGTGAAATTGTTTTACACGTCATACTTATTTATCATGTGATCGGAGTAAAATTCTCAATGATCGTAACATATATTCGATTATATCTGATATATTGACCTCTGGGGCCAGCTTTACTGACAGATAATTCTCTCCGAACATTGTGGCTTTCTTTTTGCAGAGTAAAATACACTAACTCACTCAAATAATTCTTCAGGAATCCGCAATACATGACGGACCGTTACTTTAGATCGAAGTACAGAACGTTCAATCTCGCCGATCAAATCATCTTGCTTCATTATTTCATCCTAGAGTAACACCACCAAGTGAGTATTTTGTAAATGTAAAATAGTAGGACATATACACATACATGTAAAATGGCCATCAATCTGAAAATTGACTTGAATTTATTCCGGCCATGAAAACTGAAAGGTATCACTGCGGTTGCAAGTTCAGATGAAAGGAATCGGCCATCTGGCAGCATGTTTAACGCATACAGAGTCATTCTAGTGCCTAAAAAAAAACAAAATATAAGTATCAGAAAATTCAATCGCACTGTCATACAGATATATTACTTACCAATGACCTGAGTGCAAAATACTCTAATCTTTGTAGCAAGATCTACACTGCAATCGAAGTGGTTTCGCAATATTGCAATTAAATTTAACACATCTAATCGTAATGTTTTCTTAGTATCTCCCAAGACGTGTGTGTCATTTGCGTTACAAGGTCCACCAGCGACTTCCATATGCCATATACTTAATCCATCAGAATATCTAGTCGCTATGGAATCTACTTTCACTAAGCCAGAATTTGTTACTGATTTAGTTATTCTTGCAGAACGAGCATGAGACTCAATCCAATCGAAATCGAGGTTAAAAAATGTTCTTTCATAAAATTTATATATCGAAGAAATTTGATAGGTAATATATTTGTGCTCTCCTATTTTCCTGTCCATTGTAAGGTTTATATCTACAAGATTGTAGCTAAGAATAGTTATCAGTATTTGCCCTCGGTTAATCAATGTACCTCAACATTTACTTACAAATCAAGCAGAACTTTCTCACAATATAGCCGGAAAATCTCATTGGGAACTTCAACTAAGGCAGCGGTTTTGAAATCTTTTCCAGATTTCCCTAGGACATTGTCAATGTAATTTTCTAAATCGGATGTCCATACTTCAGGGTTAACATCGCGTACAGAAGATAATTGATTGGCAAGGTCCATGCCAATTTCCAAAGTTAACTCCGAAATTGTCTTGTTAAATGCACATATCACGTACATGTCCTCAGAGTACCTGGAGGAATTTGTGGGGTAAGAATGCCTCTCATTTGTTAAAATAGCAAGTAAGAAATAAAGAACTTACTGTTGAACTTCGTTTTCTCGTGGCCTTTTGTTTGGCGTATTCATCAGCAAACTCAAATCCCGGGGAGCTTGTGGTGGAGTCCTGGGTGGTTGAGATTCTACTGATTTTGAAGAAGTGCTGCTTACTCTCCCAGATTCCTCCTCTTCATCCACCTCAACATAGGAAACATGCTTCTTTTTTCGGGGTGATCTGCGGATTGAAGATTCTTCCTAAAAAGCAACATATTCATGACTTAAATTTTTTTTTGTAGTTTATAACTGATTGTGATCAAGAATCCCACCTTTTCTGATAGAGTCAAAGGGATTTCAGAATATGCCACCTCTTCTTCATTGTCAACACCACGATGCCTTTTTCCCAATATTGTATGACAATTGTTGATAATTTGTGTTGCAGAATATCCAGATAAGTTGTTAAGTTGCCCTATTTTCTTTACCTAATTGACAAAAACGTTAATTGATCCTTTTTGCCCTATAAAATTTCATATTAGAAGCTCACCTGTAGTTGCACGCTGGAAGCTGGGTTGGAACTTGTCACATTCTCTCTCTGTGTAGTCCAATTCTTGGTTGACAAAAGTGCTGAATTAGTATTTATAAAATTAAATTTTCGATCAACCTATCATACAACAAAGTATTTTATATATACATAAGCCTAAGAGCTATCCCTAGGCTAAGAGACCCAGCTTGCACTAAGCATCGAACTAAGAGTTCATCACTGGTGGCTAAGAGACCCAGCTTGCACTAAGCGTCGAACTAAGAGTTCATAACTGATGGACTAAGCTCTTGGCTTATTCAAATTTCTACCTGCTACTACCAAAAAAACCACTCCCACTTTCTATTTTAAATTTCACTTATACTTTTTAAGAAACATACAGTACTTCCATTGGTCAAGGATTTCTTGAGCTCTGTGTCTATGTGTCTCATCAAAGTCAGACACCAAATTTGCCACCTTCTGTAGATCCTTTTTTATAGAATCTAATAGCTTCCTCTGATTTTTTTGCATTTTAGAACGATAATACCCTGTTAAGTTTGCATATGTCCAGTCTTTGACTGCTGTTACATGATAAAAAGTCATAAAAGTGGGTGTTGAGTCTGCAGTCATGGTTAAATTTTTAGTGTTTTATGCAAGAAACTCATAAAAGATCAAGACGTGTCAATGTCCAAAAGTGTCTGTTGGGCTCACATGACACCTGGCCAATAAAAAGGTTTGCTATTTTATATTCTTGTGTGCAAAATTTGTATCTGGTATGGAGTTTTGCGTTCTTTATTTGTTTACACCTACGATTGAATGCTAGAGGTGTACTTGCAACAATAAAGCATAAACATTACATAAATTAAATAAATAACTATATACATATTCTATATTTATAACTACATAATCTATAGTACAAACCTTAAAAAACTTATGTTACATAATTAACTAGCTATTCAGTCTAGCCAGGGGGTGAGAAGGGATGCTATGGTAGTTTCCGATGGCCATCCCGCTCATAGGATGTTTTTCTGGGTTCTGGATTTGTAGTACTTTAAGAGGCCTACATATTTACTGTGTATGTCTCCTGGGAGGATTATTCTGTCTGCTATGCGAGCATCCATGTGGGCATACCAGATCGCCTGGTAGGCGATGCCCATCATGTACCTCTTCTGTCTGTTTTTGCTGTTCTGTGTTAGTTGTTGGACTTTGTCTATGAAGGTTTTCACTTCAGCACATTTGGAGAACATGTGTTCTGATGTCTCCTCATATCCAACACATAGATCGCACAGGTTTGTGTATTTGGCAGGGTTAATATGGTACAGCCGGCCTTTGTTTGGCTGTGCATTGTGTGCTGCCCTCCAGAGTATTTCCTGTATTTTGGGGGGCAGGTCACTGTTAAACACTTGATTCCAGGTAAATGGCTGGTTTAGTGTTTTGGGTTCAAACCGTGGAGTCAGAGTATCTGGCAGTGGTTTTACCAACTGTTTCAGTTCTTTGAAAGATAGATAGGATGGAAAGGTGATGGGTGTGGGCGAGTTTTTATTGATTTCCTTCCAGGCCCTTAGGGCAGCCTTTGGGTGGTACCCGTATTTGGTGGTTGGGGTACGGACTGTTAGGGCATTCCAGAAGGTTCTCCTTTTGCAGGATTTGGCTTGCTGGTATAGGAGGTGTTTAGCCCACACTTTGTCAGGGTTATTGAAGGCATGTTGAAAGAGTGAAGCAGCATAGGTTGATACCTGCAGTTCCACATCAACCATATTTATGCCACCTTTGGATTTTGGGAGCATTGCTATCTCTCTTGCAGGGTGTATTTTAGCATTGTTCCAGACAAAATTCCATGCCAGTTGTTGTATTCTGGTTGCCATGGTTGGGCTGGGGGCAGCCACCATGCAGGTGTACCAGATTTTGGATATGATCAATGATTTAAACAGGAGGGTCCTACCAGCAAAGGTAAGCGTCCTTGCTTTAAAGAATCCTGCTTTTTGTTCCATCCATGAGTATAGTTCTTCCCACTTTTCATCAATGTTCTTTTGATTGAGTGGGAAGGTAAAGCCGAGGGTGGGAGGGGGTTGTTGCATCGGTGTTAAACTGAAACGAGTTGTTGTAACTGGAGGGATTGTCGACAGCGGTGTTAGCTTTGACTTGTCCCAGTTGATAACTGCTCCAGATACTGCTGAGTATTTGTCAAGGAGTTTCTCTATTTTCTTGACTTCATAGATTCCATTCAGGAAAAAAGTCGTGTCATCTGCATAGGCAGTGTTGTGAATTCTGCCATTTGCATTGGTGATTCCTGCTATTTCTGCCCTTTCAGCTGCGAGTAGGGGCTCGAGTGCTAGGACATACAGTAGCGGTGCAATGGGATCACCTTGAGGAACTCCTCTCATTATGTTAACAGTTTGATCCTTGTTGTCTACAGTTATCCTTGCCGTGCGATTGTAGAAGAGGTGCTCAATAGTTGTAATAATCTTCCTTGGGAATCCATAGTTTCCCAGAGAATGGGATAGCCAGTTGAAGTTTACCCTATCATATGCCTTGGACCAGTCCAGTGAGAGCATATAGCTATGTCTTGATTGTACATGCAAAACACTGTCAATAGTGAGGGCTGATTCGTATATGCGTCTGCCCCTGATAAACCCTGTCTGAGTTTCATGTACAACAGAAGGAACAACTTCTTGGAATCTGTTTGCCAGTATCCTGCTGAAGATTTTGAGGTCACAGTTCTCCAGTGTGATTGGCCTCCAGTTTCCAAGTTGATCGATGTTTTCTTTCTTCTTGGGAATAAGGATGATTTGTGACTCACTCCATGTTCTGGGGGGGTTTTCACCATTGAGTATGCCATTAAACATGGCAGTTAAATGTGGTACTAGCTTTTCTTTCATTGAGAGGTAGAACTCAGATGGGAAGCCATCGGGTCCAGGTACTTTCCCTCTTGGTGAATTTCTTATAGAGTCTAGTACCTCTTTTTCAGTAATAGCACTTCCCAAGAGTACTTGATGATTCTGTTCTAGAGCTGGGCAGTACCAAGGAAAGGAGTTGGGGTCCTTGACTTCCGAGTCACCCCAGAGGTTTTGTAGGTGTTCCCTGCACATTTCTGATTTTCCCTCAGGAGTCAAGGCCATGAACCCTTCGGAGTCAGTTAGTGCAGGTAGCTTGGCATATTGCAGTCTTTCCTTGTACCGGCTGAAGAAGTATTTTGAGGATCTTTCGCCTTCCTCGATCCACTTAGTGCCAGATTTGATTTTAAGCTGGTCTGCAAGTTTGTCCTCTGCGAGTTTGAGGGCATCCTTCACCTTTTGGAGTTTGTCTGGATCAGGATCCTTTCGCTTGAGGATGTTTGCCAGCCTGTTTGTGAGGTTTTTAACAGAATCTTGATGCTTGCGCTGTTGTTCCTTTCCATGCTTTTTGAACTTTTCAGTCCATGAGCTTTTGAAGGCATCCCAGTTGCCACTTGTGACTGTGGCATGGTTTAGGGATGTTTCAACCATATTTTGCATGGCCTGGTCCTTGGCATGTTCAATGTTCATTCTCCAACGTGGCACTCCAGTTCTCTTCTTGTTGTCCAGAACCACAAGCGAGTGTTCTGATATTGTTCCAGGTGGAATCACGTGAGCTGAGGCATGTGGGGACAAGAGAGATGGGGGGGCAAAGATGTAGTCGAGTCTGTAGGAGCTATTTGGTTTGATATGGGTGTGCTCCGTATTATTTCCATTTAGCTCCCTATGAGTGTCAATTAGTTCTAGGTCACCAATGATCTTCTTGATGCCTTCCCAGAACTGATGGGAGATGATCTTTCCACGGTAGGTGTCTTTAGGGTCGAGTGGGGTATTAAAATCTCCAACCATCCATGAGAGAGGGAGGATTGGTGGGAGATTTGTCCAGAATTCTCTCTTGTCTCTGTTATCCACAGGAGCATAGATGGCCCGGATGTTATATGTGAAGTAAGGAATGTGTAATTTCCTGTCCCCTCTTGCCATGTGAGTGAATGTAAAATCCACAACACGTGACTTTTGGTAGACATTGACTAGTTTGAGTGCATGTTGGTAGGGGGATAAGATGGCTATATGTGGCAGCACTATAGTGTCACCATGCCATATAAGATCAATATATTCCTTAATTCTGCTGATTTTGTGGTCTATTCCTGGTACATCATCAGGATCAGCAGTAACATATATTTCCTGAAGAACGATTACGTCTGCTTTCTGTTCCCTAATCTTTCTCAGGACTCTTGGTATCTTATTACGGTTGCTAATGCCACCAACATTCCATGTGATGATTTTAAAGTTGTTCATATTGATGGAGGGGGGGTTTTTTGGGTTAGATGAAGTTTGGTGCCATACTTCATCAGACCTTCATTTATAGCATAATCTATTGAGTAGAAGGATGGGATATCTTCCTTCTCATTGCATATTATAAAATTTGTGAAGTGGATGTCAAGCTGGGCTTTTTTGATATATAGCTCAGTGATTGTACCAACACTTTTGTCTTTGCTTGTGGTGATGTCATGTATCACACCCTCATATTCAACTGGGACTGTAATAATGACATCCAGCATATTTTCATCTTCGGATTCCTCCATATCAGTTTCAGGTAAGGCTGTATAGGAGGAGGAAGCCTCAGCATATGTTGGTTTTTGCTTAAGGTTGGCAGTCAGTCTTGCATAGGTTCCTATATTAGCTTCCTGTGCTGTCATGTTTGGATCCAGAATCTTGCCTTTATGCAGAAGGTCATATTTATCTGGTTCCATCCTTAATTGGGGGGTGAGTCTCTCCTTAAGGGTTCCTATATGTTCCTTAAGCATAATGTAGCAATCGGTTAGTTTGCTTTTTCCTCCTATGAGGTTAGAGAGGATTGCTATGTTAATCTTAGCTCCTAAGGGATTTGGTGGTGGTGAGGGGGAGTTTTCAGGAGTTGATCTTACAGAGAGGCAGGTTAGATTCACCACATCTCTATTCTCTATACTGAGGTCAACCGGCCGGCCATTTTCAATAGCCTGACCTTCCTTACTCATCTTGATTTCCATTTTCAGGGAGTTGCCCAGAGCAGAGATGAACTCCTCAATGCCTATTTCAGGGTTTAACTTACCTATACTTACCTTGGTTATGCTTGGGCTAGTTGCATATCTTACCTGGATTTCCATTGCATTCTGGTCATGTGAGTTCACAGTTAGAAGTGCTTCCTCCATTTCTTTTCCATTCACATATGTTTTTTCCAGTACTACTGAAGAGAGGTCAGAGGGGGGGGATGACAGGGACGATGATGATGGGGGGGAAGTAGTTAGGGGGTATGAGGGGGGGAGATTTGATATGCGAATTGATGGATGGGGAGTGGCTGTTTCTTGTTTGATCTTTTCCAGATCTTCTCCTTGTGGCGCATTGGGGGTCTTCCCAGCTGTTCTCCTTTTCCTAAGCCAGTCTGTGCAGTTGTTGTAGATTGCAACTGGCAACCGGCTCATCCATTGCTGTGCCACATCTGGGTATATGGCGAAGTAGTTGAGGTGGGCTGTTTCTACCCAACCACTTGTTTTGTGCAAAGCCATTGCCACCTGCCATCCGGTCCAGGCATTGCGTTTATTAGTGGCAGGGCCACTTTGTAGATAGCTTAAGTCCACTTTGGCCTTTTTTTGGGATTTTGGCCGCTGTGGTGTAATAGCCTGGTTATGTGATCTCTTGCTTGGGGGGGGTGTGCCTGTCCGTGCTGGGGGGGTCCGGGGTGCAGATAGAGAGCGGGAACGGCGTTGCCGTCTGATATCCCTTTTAACTGCTACTCGTCCTCTGACTGTTTCGAAGGCATCTTCATCTGAGCTTAGTTTCGCTGGGATGGCTTCTTTAGCAGCCATTCCAGTTGCTTGATATGCCTTTGTGATTTTTTTCACTGTTTCTTTGGCTTTTCCCATTGGTGGGTTTCTTGCTGAAGGCATTCTGAGAGGCTCCAGTTTGGTTGTTTCAGGAGGAGGGGGGGGCAACACATCCAGGACTTCCAAAGTTTCAGTGCTTTCTTTGTCCTTTGGCCTTTCCTGAGCCTGTTCATCTTTGGTCATGATTATTTTGACCAGGTCTTCCTTTTCCAGGATTTTTTCCTCTGGTTTTTTATTCTTTTCAGGGAACTTTTGTATTGAGATGGGCCGTGCTGGTTCCAAAACATCCCGTTTTTCAGCAGCCAAGCGGTGTTTAGGAGTACATTGGCTAGACCAGTGACCGATTGATTTGCAGGTTGTGCATACTGCAGTAGAGCCTTTCCAGTAGCAGCAAACTCTACAGCTATATGCATTGAAGACAACTGGGGCACCGAGAGACTTTCCTGGAGGGATGGTTAAAATCATGTCCCATCTTCTAGTCAGTTTTTTAGTGCCTTTGACATAGTGTGGTTCAATGGCACCTACCAGGCCAAAATTTCTCCAGTATTCTTTGATGAGCTTTCTAATATCCTTTTCAGGATATATGGGCATATTGGCCATTTTAACATATACCTGTTGTGGCGAGTATTTACGGGGTGCGATAGGGTAGATAGTCTGTCCTCTGGGTAGTAGAATTACTTTAGCCAGTGCGTTGTCTCTTTCATCGATAGTGGCATAGGCTAGTTCAAGCCAACCAGTTTGTTTGCGATGAGTCCATCCAATAGCTTCTGTTTCTTCAGCAGCTTGTTTGATTTCCTCCATTTCACCCTCAAAAGTCAAGAGGTCCCAAAAGACCACATTGCACTGGTCTGTATTTGGGGTTTGTCTGCCAGTTCTAATTTCCTCAGAGATGGCACATTCTGTGTCTGAGAGGACAGAGTTGACTGGTTGCTTTTTCTCATCGACTTTTTTCTTTCCTGCTAGCTTTTCTGCATAAGTAGGCTTCTTTCCAAGGAAGGCATTCGACTCGTTCTTTCTAACGACTTTCTCTAGTGCTGTTTCAGTATTAGGATTGGGGTCGTTTGAACCTACCTTTACTACTCCTGGGGGTTTGTGAGTCGGGTTGTTTGTATCGTTTTCTGTAGTATCAATAATCATCTGGTCTACTTCATTGTTTAATTGGGTGTTTAGGGTCTCTTCCTCTGATGACGAGTAGTTGGTTTTGCTAACTCTCTGTTTAAACCACAAAATGTCACCGGACTTAATGATGTTCTCCTCTTGGAGTCTCCCAAAGGACCAACTAAAAGGAAGTGGCTTAGTAGTTTCGCCATTCATTAGGACCCAGTATTCCCTATTTGTGTTAGTTGCTTTTGACTGCAAGGTAAGAAGATGTCTTGGTTTCCATGAGGCTGCCAAGAGAGTAGGTTTGCCCTCCAATGTCACTTCGATGCAGTTTTCTGCTGAGGGTTTAGATGGAAAGGGGGGGGATTCGACATTTGGTACTGTGTACTGTTCGATGATGGGGATGGTGGCATTTGAGTCTGGGGAGGCAGCTTCCTCAACTACAACTGGGTTTGCTACTGTTCCTGTTGCCAGTTCCAGTTTCTTTGGGGTCGTAGAGGGTTTGCCACTTTGGGACCTGTCAGTTGCAGCTTTTTTGGTGGAGTATGGATTGGCCCTTTCCCTGTTGGTTTTAAGTTTTTTGGCAGATCCAGTGGGTTCTTTTGAAGAGGTTTGTTTGCTTTGGCCAGCAACTACCTCTTTTTCGAATATCTCAGTTTGTTCAGACACTATTCTTTCTACCAGGGATTCACTGATAAAGTTGCCAGTTTGAGTAGCTGGTGCAGTGTAGGCCATTGATTGTCTGGAAGGGCTGACAGCTTTGACTGTTGTTTTACGGTAGCCATCAAAGGCCATATCAGTATGTCTGACACAGACAAAAATTATCTTATGTCCTCCACCATGTTTCTGGTGGACTATCTTGAAGTCTGTGTCGTAGGGGCAGTTTGCTGCCTGGCACAGGCTAGGGATGAACTCCTGCTCATCTTCAGAATAGCTTCTGTCCTCTAGATGAGGGGGTGGAAGGAAGGTCTGTTTCTGAGCTATTTCAGGTTCTTGGGCAGTTCTGGCTTCTTCGTTTCCTTCCTCTTTGGTGCTATCCACTGTTCTGTGGATAGCCATTTGTTCACATTCCTTTCCTTTAGTGTTTTGGGCTTCAGGGTGCTCCTGGGGACCAGACCCTAAGTTTGTTACTTCAAGCGACAGTTTCTTGTCACTGTGAGGTGCCAGAAAGGTAACTGTTCTGGGCTGTTGTTCGCTTCCCTGTTCTTCCTTTTGGCTTCCCATGGCCTCGGGAAGGGGATAGAGTTGTTTTGAGAATGTTTTATATGTATTAAGTATGTAGAAAGTATGAGGTGTATTTGACTTTTACTGCAGATTTTTTGCGTTCGTTGCAAAAGGGGAAGAAAAAGTTAGTTCTTGCTTGGTGGCCTCGAGCACCAAAGACTTGCCTGACTTGCAAAATTGTTGGGCACAACTCTTCCTCATGCC